AGGTTATAAGAAGTTGGCTGCTACCATTTTCATTTTTAATAAATCACCATGTAATAATTGCATTAACAGTGCTTCGAAGCTGCTGAAACAGTGACATTTGACATGCATTGTCTAACTAGCACACGATTGGTCTCTTGGTCACATTTATAATCAGATACTTTTTTCTTCTGGGTTGCCCAGCTGTGCTGATTAAGTTCCTTTATCTGCAGATATGAAAATGAGCAGCCATTTCGAAAGGCAGCGGAAGAGGAAATTAATTCTCTATATAAAGTCATTGATGAAGCTAACTTGACAAAAATAGATCTGGAAAGTCAAATAGAAAGGCTGAAAGAAGAACTCGGCTTTCTGAAAAGGAGCTATGAAGAGGTATGTGGGGGCTGGGGTGACACTGGGTTGGCTGCAAGACAGGAGACCCTCTCCTGCCTGGCCGAGCTTCAAAACATAAGTAACAGTAGCTCATCTCGGCCTCTCCATGATGTCACTTGCCCAGGGCAGCAGGGAAAATGCCAGGCGTAAAACACCTTCAGTCCTTGTAGTGAGTCAGGTTAGCCCAGGAGTCTCAAGCTCAAATGGTTTCAAGACCAGGCTAGGATGTGAATGGGGGAGGCAGCAGGTCCAAGCAATAGTGAGTGATGGCACCTGTGTTGAATTGGAGGGAGCATCTCATTACTCAAGACATTCAATTTCAGATCTTTGTTTTCAACACTGTACAGGGCAAACAAAATAACCCTGAGGGTAGATCCAGGCTGCAGTTTATACACACTCATTAATGGGATTAGGTGAGATCAATCAGTATCAGAACTAAGGTGATGTGTCCTGCCCCCCCATCCCACCTCCTCCCCCTCCCCCCCACACACACAGCATCTGGTCCAGTTCCCCACAGAACTGCATTGATTCTAAACCACCTCCCACATACCACTGTCTGATCCGAGATCTAAAGCGCTTACAGTTGAAAAAGCCAAAACCCACTTAACAATGCTCAAGTCAGGAAGTTCCTTCTTTTGTCCAACCTTAAGCTAACCAGGAACCAATTAAGCCCACTTCCTCCTGTTTTGAGCACAGCAGGTTTTCACCATTCTCCAACTGTAACTCTTTAGAGACTCCAAAGTTATCTTTAAATCTCTTTCAGCCTACTCTGACTTAATGAAACTCATAAATTTCATCTTGCTGTTGTAGCTGACTCTGTATTATTTAGTTATTTATTTTGATTTTTGCTTTGGGCCTGAGCCTGTGAAGACCAGCCTGAGAAAAGTGTCCTGGGAAAAGAGATTACGGTGCCNCTTCCCCTAATTCCCCAGTCCTGTTCCCATCCCCCAATTCCCCAATAAAAATCTTTAAAAATAAAAAATAAAAAGATGCCTGATTTGGGTTCTAAACTCATGTAGGAGTTGACCAGACAAATAAAGGAGGCACGGCTTTCCAGGCAGAGGGGACAGTATATGCAAAGTCAGGAGGACATGAGAAAGCATGGTGCATTAGTGGAATTCCCAGTAGCTCATTATAACTGGGGCATGTGGAGTGAATGAAGGAGGGCAACCAATGCAGCTTGAAAACCAGGGAGAGACCAGATCCTGGAGGACCTTGTCAGCCATATCAAAGAGCTTAGAGATTATCTGAGAGCAGAGGGATTTCCACAGAAGGGATTTGAGCAGTGTCATCATGACCAGATTTTAGCTTTAAAGGAAGCTTTGTTTTGGTGGAGAAGAAAAGAAGGGCAAATGAGCAAGAAACAGTGGGACTGGACCCACGGAGGGGCAGGGTCTGTATTGAGACCAGTGGTTGGAAAGTAAGGAGATGCCAGCTCACTGAAGGGCTAGGGGATGACACTTAAGGCTTCTGAGCAGAGGAGTGAGTGGATGTGGTTAAGGATGTCCCTCTCGGGCAGCACTGTTGGTCTGGGAAGACAACAGGCATCTGTTATAGCTCACGGTCTGCTTGGGGTGGTAGCAGTGGGTGAGCATGAGGGGTGGGTCAAAGAAATAATCAGCAGGGTTTGACAATTGCCTACATATACAGCCTGGAAAGAGAAAGCAAAGGTATGTTCCGGGTTTTAAACTGAGAACTTCAATTTAAATTGAGAAGACTTTCAGTGCTACTGACAAATTTTAAAAAATGAGGAAAGAAAGCTTGACTAAAATTCAAGGGTAAATAATGAGTTTAGTTTTGAGCAAGCTGAGTTGAGCTGATAGTGGAGAAACCAAGCAGAAATTATGGGATGCCGTTGAGGATGTTGGGCCAGAGTGGCCTGTGGGTCAAGATGAGACAATCCAGGTGTCATGAGCACAGAGATGTTAATTGAAGACTTCAAAATGGAAGAGGGGTGGGGAGGGGAAAGTGTAGCAAGAGAAAGCCAAAAGCTTAAGAAAATCCTTGGGAATATCACAGATATGTTTCAAATCCTTAGAGAACTTCCAAAAAAAAAAAAAAGGTCTGTAAGACACCTACAATCTCCTATGATGCTGAGAGGACCATATCCTGGATGGGACCAGTCTCCCTGGAGTGGTGAGCAAAATAGGACTTCAGAAACCCAAAGGGCACTCTTCCAGCTTGGATCAACAGGGACGAAGCCCAGTCATATGGGTGGATTTTCATTTCAGCTGGAAAAACAGGACTTGTTTCCAGAAGAACTAAATGTTANCAATGCTGTCTGGGCCTTTTGAAGAGAGGCGGAGCTCTGAAAATATTTGCAGAATGAGTGAATTCTTCTGATCATCAACAGATCAGAACTGACAGCCAGAAGTCCTCCAATAAATAGTTTTGTCAGCTGCAGTCATGCCCTCGGGGGCTGACATTTGCCCATTCTGAGCACCTCTTGTCGGTTTCTTGGCGGAGGCAAAGCATACATGTGAAATGGCTTAGCACACACTGCTTTCAAATGCCTTTGCAGAGAGAATACAAACGTATTTAATTACCTTTCAGCTCAAGGAGGCTGAAAATTAATGGACGTGATTAATTTATGTCTTTGTTTAGGTTCCCCCAGAAACTGATCCTGAGACAAATATTGAAGTGAAGGTGGTGTTTTTTTTGGGGAGGTTGGGGGAAAAGAAACACCAAAACACCAGTAGAGGAGGCACAGAGAAGGGAACCAACAAAGAATGTGTTATCTATCCAACCAGCTACCACTGTGGGAGGCTAGAGCGAGTGTACCCCACCGGGATTCTGGGGAACAGTAAAGAATACAAGAGAGGGGGATGCAAAAAAGCAAGGGTAATATTACCATCTCCCATCAGTCCTCTGCCTTCTGGTCGCAAAGGGACCTTTCAAAGACTTCAGAGAAAGCTCTTAGGCAGGACGTAGTATCTGACAGTGAAAAGGAAGCTGGGGTGAATTGACATGTTAAGACCTGAGGGATAAAGGTGGATGTCATCAGCATCTGCAACCTTTCATCTGCCAAATCTTCTTAGGTTTTTT